AAATGTCCGGCCATGGTAAAGGTAGGGTTAAGTCGATTCCAAAAGCTGATAGGGAATTAGCAAGCGTGTATCACAGATAGTACTCAAAATGTCTGGAAAATTCTTACAATCTGTCTTCGGTAAGTAGGCTACTTACCACCGTGAGCAAAATTACGCGTGACGTCAGAGTTAAGTCTCGATTGGGAATTGGTCAAAAGGCTACCAAAAATTCAGACAGAGGCGGAGTTTTCTGAAGTAATGTCTAAACACTTTGTTGGCTTTCCGCCGTATGGGGGACGCCTAATTATGCACACGGTGCCCTTCCACACTAGCGATTAGACGCTGACAAAACATGTTTCTCTTCGCCAAAATCACATCAGAATTTTCCTTGCTAAAGGTCAAGTGTGCTGCACGTATTAGCACCCCCAGGGGACCCATTTACAGAAAAGGGCGGGGGTGCTCGCCTGGAATTTCGAAAACGATCGCTATAAAATTATAAAAGGAGCTTAAGTCTTATCTTTGTGGGAGTGGCAACAATTAGCCTGTAAAAACAAGTCTTTATGTCCTTTTCTGTCTTTTTCAATGCTTCCCTCGCATCTACAGAGGATTCATACAAACATGAGAGCCGTGCCGCGTTTACATTGTACAGGTAGAAAAGGTCGTCCAGAATGAGTATTTCTTTCTGTAATGAAAACCCCAATAAACTCACTCAGAAATGACTCATTTCGAGTAAATTTTACGCTGGTTATTATGTGGCAACCGGTATGAACTCGTTCTTGCACAAAACTCATTCGGATATCGTGTAAAAGGCCCCTAAAAGTTTTTATTCCCAGAGCATCACGCTTTGTTCGCCTGTCTGAGTACTAAAAATTTCAGTAGCGTTGAAGCAACAACCCGCTTTAACTGCTTCGCTGCCGCTGAAACAACGATCAGTGAAGAAAGCACATATTTTAATATTTTCAATTCAACGTAAACAAAAATCTTTATAAGCGCAATCATCGTAGCAAAAAGCAATCAACTATTGCGTGACTAGCTTATGATATAAATGAGTGTGGTGCAGCTGTGATTAAAGGGAACCAATCCACACAAGGAAGCCAGCTATTTGTCACCCTAGAATGTATGAATAATCATAGGTATTCCTGGCAAAGCCAGCCAATGCTTGAGGGGATGGCAGCTGGAAATTTGTTGCTGTCATCATCTATTTTGCTCAGTGGCTCTACCTTTACAAAAGTAGCATCTTTGGCAGATATCTTAAATTTGAAAATTTTCGGTGAGAATACATTTTATAATATTCAAAACAAGTACTTATTACTTATGAGAATACATTTTATAATATTCAAAACAAGTACTTATTACCCGTAATCAATGAGTTCTGGCTTAAAGAACAAAATTCCACTTTTTCTGAG